GTAACAATAGAGGTTATGATTGTGAAATCATTAAGGATTAGCGTTTTTTATTTAAGAGTCTAAATTAGATACATGGATAAGAAGCTAGTGAAAAGACATACGGGAATAGAGTCTTTATATTACAAGTGGTCTCTTTCTGTGGGGGTCTTAAAGGGTTTGATCACTAAATAGGATTTAGAGAAATTGGCTTAAAGCTAATATTAGTAAGGGATAAATTCATTATGTTAGTTGAGCAATTAATCAAAAGTAACCTTAGATGTGCACTAGTGGATTTTAATGATTAATCGAGAACTAATAATAGAAGGGTATGTCAAAGGATTTAATTAACATTTTACTTATTGCAAGTTTTTGTTGAGATTTTTACATTTAAAAAGAATAAAAATAAAACTAATTATCTTAAAAATAGGATTAAAAAATTAAGTCGAATTGCTTTTGCAATAATTATTTAAAAAATATTACGTTAGAAATTTTTGAGTTTAATACTTTTAAACAACAATAAATTAAAAAAAAAAAGAAAAGATTATAAATCCATATCTAATTATGTACAACTTTTTTAGCTCTATAAGTGGTTTTATTCACATAAAGTAAGATATAAATCATACCATTTTAGTTATCATTATTTAATTTTATTTCATAAAAAAAAAATTAATTTCATGAGGATATGTAGATTTTTTTTTTATATGATACTACAGAAATTAAAAGAAAAGAGAGAAAAAAATATAAACTTTATTTTGATTTCCGTGGGTTGTTTTAGTTCTGGAAATTATGAGTTTATAAATCAAGAAATCAATTAGAGTCATGTTAGAAAGTCATGATAGTATTATTTGCAAAAAGCTAAGTTTATTTTCTCTCTCGGAACAATTCTTAAAGTGTATCAAAAAATTTTTAAATTTTGCCCATAATTAAGATGCTGTCTATCTTCTTCATTACTAGTAAAGTAGGGTTGATCCGAAGCTGAAACGCCTTTGCAAGTTTTAGACACTGTGAACGGTACCAGAATCCCGAGAGTCTCGACGATTCATCCAACCTCCACGTTTACCATCTTGTAATATTATGGAGCAGGTGGAAGATTGAAACCAACCAAACCATCTTCTTTTATCTTTTGCCTCTTAATGCCCGTGAGCCAAAACAGAGGGAGAAGCTACGGAGAAGCTACTTCTTTTGTTCTCTTCTCATGGTACACTTCGCGCCTTTCATATTCTCTCTTGAATCACTCTCAGATTTCTTCCGCGCGCGTCTTATTCAATCATTTACTGCCAATCTAACATCGCTCTCAGATTTGGTAATAAAGGCTTGAATATCCTCCGCTTTCATATGGGTCTCAGTTAATCAAATTTTCCAGTTAAATATCACTCTCACTGTTTCACTGCGTCAGCTCGACGATTCCCCATTGTCAAGCGGTCGAGTTTGTAATTAATTTGCAGTACAAGACGATAACAGACACTATGAACGAGTCGAGAGGTTTTCATGGTGCGAAACGTCCTCGATACCGTGCTATTTTTAATGGAATTTGCTTTTTGGTATTGATTGTCTTGTTGTACAATCAAAAAAACTTTCTAATTAACAGTGCGTTTCTGAAGAAATCGCATGTTCTCTCTTCCAAGCGGAGATTAACAGGTTCGATCGAGGTGATTCACAGGAGAATTGCGGAGGTGAATGCTAGTTTTATCCACGTGAATGAGTCAAAAACAAGAAATTTTGCAGCTAAAGATCCTGAATTATGCGCTGGGTTGTTGGAACATGATGGTTATGGTAGCCCTTGTGAGTTCTTAATTGCCCACCCTCAGTGCACTGCAGGTGGGTTTTTCAATTACCTTAGGTTCTTTTACTGTGCATGCCGAAGGTTCAATGCTTTGGGATACGTAGTTTTGGCTCTGTGGCTGGCTGCTCTGTTTTACCTACTGGGCAACACAGCAGCAGACTATTTTTGTTGTTCACTGGAGAAGCTTTCCAATCTCCTGAGATTGACGCCAACCGTTGCGGGAATCTCTTTGCTTCCGCTTGGGAATGGAGCTCCCGATGTGTTTGCCAGTATTGCTGCTTTTGTGGGTAAGGAAGCCAGTGATGTAGGTCTCAGTAGTGTGTTGGGAGGAGCCCTTTTCGTTACTTGTGTTGTCGTAGGAGCAGTTTCTCTGTGCGTTGCAGAGAGGAGGATACAAATTGATGGAAAATGCTTTGTCAGAGACATATGTTTCTTCCTCTTTGCTCTTGTTTCGCTTGCTAATATTTTGATTGATGGTAAGGTGACTGTTCGAGGTGCAGTAGCATTTATTTCCATTTATATGGTTTATGCATTTGCTGTTGCTGCTAATGAAATCCTGAGGAAACATGCCCGGAGGCTAAGATTGGGTGCTGTAACACCATTACTTCCTGTTAAAGGAAGCATATTTTCTCATGCAAGTGAAGTGGATATCTCCAGTATTCATGTCTCGCTGCTAGAATCTGATTCAGAAGGTGATGTACCATATCTCCAAAGCAAGCTGCCTCATTGGATGTGGGCTTCAAAGGTGGCAATTTACTCGAGCGAGTCATTGA